GTGTGTGTGTGTGTGTGTGTGTGTGTGTGTGTCTATATATAGTATATTTAGATATTGTAACTGTGCTGCCACTGGGAGTTTATCAGTACCTGCTGCAAGCCTCTAATTCATATAACCACTGCTGTGGAATCGCTGTTTTCTAGCAAACCACTTTCTCCTGCCTTACACAGAAAACCCAAATACATTCGAGTCATATGCACTATAAAGTCAGAAATTAAAATGTCCTCTTACCCAGTCAGATATTACTTTACTCAAATCCAAAGATCAAATTTTCTCTTCTTTGTGGAAATTAAGGCGGCTGATGCTGAGCCCTCGCGGCGTGTGGTCACAGTCACGCGGTTGAACAGACAAAGGCAAAACAATCAAATCAAAACAGTTTGTTGCTAAAAGCAGATGATTCTGATCAGCCTAATCGAGACTGTGAGGAACATGGTGAGATCATGGAGACATATGATCCTGGTCCAGCAGCGAAGAAGCAGAAAAGTTGTGCATTTGAGAATATGCGCTGTACAGTAACGTTTCTTTAAATACAAATAATTTCAATCTAGTTAAAACAAAGATAAATAAAATGGTATTATCAGCCTGTTGACTATTTTATTTATGTTTATTTCAATGCTGACTGTATACAGCTTGGCGTAGCGTAAATGTTAGTTTTACTTGATGGTGTCATTCTTGTAAAGCGCAAAATGTCAGTGTTTTTGCGCAGCAGTAGTAATTAAAATATGATCGGAATTATACTCATTTTTCCGGTAAACTGCGTCGTTCCCGGACACCGTGACCCACAGCAAAAATTCCTCGTGGAAACTCTGAGATATGTATACACACACCAGTGAGAGTACAAAGCACTATCTCTACCATTCCACAAAGTGTTAATGCCATTCTTCACTCATAAGTAAAAAATAAATATAATAATAAATAATAATGATAATAAAAAACAATAATTAATTATGTATATGTAGTTTAACTTCCATTTGTTCCTGACTTTTCGGACACCCTGTGTGTGTGTGTGTGTGTGTGTGTGTGTGTGTGTGTGTGTGTGTGTAGGTGCCCTGGTGGACCAGGCAGTGTTTGAGGAGATGATGCGTGATCACCTGTCCCAGCTGACAGATCACATGACTGAGCTGTCATTCCTCTCATCACTGTCGCTGTCATGGTTCCTGACGCTCTTCGTCAGTGTGTTACCGATCGAGAGCTCCGTCAGCGTGCTCGACTGTTTCTTCTACGATGGAATCCGATTCGTCCTCCAGCTCGCTCTCACTGTCATACACCACAACATGTCCCTCCTCCTCCGCTGCCATGACGACGCCGAGGCTGTCACTGCCCTCAACAGGTGACCTTTTGCCTCTGTACCGCTAACCCTCAGATACAATTAATGTAGAATATAC